CCTCCCTCTCTCTCTCTCTCTCTCAGGTTGAGGTTGTTGACATTGTCTCCTATGGAGTCCAGGCTGCTCTCACAATCCTTCTAGGGAAGACCTGTTCAGCAAACCTGGGGATAGATAGCCTGGGGTATGGAGGCAGGGCAGGCTAGTGTCTAGCCCTCATGCAGTTTCTCCTAGATGTGGCCTGTTTGCGCCATCTGGTGGTCTGTTCTGGAAGTTCTTTCCACTCATTCTTTTTCACAGTCTCTTCAAGTCCCAGACTCCTCTGTCCAGGTGAAGGACATGGGCAAAAATATCCAGGCTACACTGAGGGTGAGCACAGAGGGTCCTAGATCTGCTCCCATCTCTGAATATATGCACTGACCTCTGACTCTGTCTCTTCTTTCTCTAGGGACAGAGTCTCTACTTACCTTGGTATCCCAGGGCTCCCAGAGCTCCTCCATAGGGCTTCGGTGGTTTTCCTGTGTGTGGGGGTGTTGGCAGAGGATGAGGTGGGAAGGATACTGGGTTCCCCTACCTCTACCAGCATCCTCACTTTGTGCAAATTGCGCCCTGTTTTTGTAGGCGCCCAAAACCTCCCTGCCAATCAGCCCACCTACCTCGGTCTTGCCACACCCTTCTCCCCAGAGTTAAGCTCTGTACTACTGGGACGGAACCTGGACCTAGTGCATTCTAGACAAGAGCTCGGCTGCTGAGCCACACCCCTTCACTGGGGAAATCTAGACAAGAGCTTACCGCTAAGCCACGCCCCCAGCCCCTCACGGGGGAGGGGGATTTTAGACAAGAGCTCCTCATTGGAGGATTCTGGGAAGGTGTTCTACCACAGAGCCATGCCTGTAACCTATCACTGAAAGATTCTAAGCAAGAGATTTAATGCTGACCCATGCTCTCAGCCACTGATTGGAAGATTCTAGACAGGTGACCCACCACCGATTCATGCTCCCAGGCCCTCACTGGGGGATTCTAAGCAATTGCTTTACTACTGACTTACATCATCAGCCCTTTATAAAAAAAAAATGTTTATAAAAGTCTTTGAGACAGAGTTTTGCTAAGTTGACTAAATTGTTTGGAACGCTCTCCATAGCCCAGGCTAGTCTTTGATCCTTCTGCTTCAGCCTCCCCTACACCCCCACAGTGCTAAGAGTCCTTCTACCAACAAGGCTAATTTATGAGATGTCTTTTCACGGAAGACTCACCACCAACTCCCAGGCCCCCGGCACCACCACCTATGGGGTAAGAAGAAGAGGTATTATCAGTGCGCCCACTTCTGGAACCTACCATGTTCCTCCCTGATTGGAGCAGGACATGTGATATAGGATAGGGTCAGGTCCTGGACTTGGGTCGCAGGAGTCCTTGACTCTGTCTCTGTTCACTGTGTGACCTTTGAATAGTGCTTAGTGGTCTCCAAGCCTACAGTTTACCTCAGGAGAAGGATGGTAGGGAAGCTGTTTGACCCTTAGGGACCCTGAGAAATGTGAAGGGTGTCCCTGTCCTTAGAAAGGTCCTAATGTTAGATTGGGGTCTGGGTTCTTCTTGGGATCTGTTACTACAGGTGTTAGCCCCACTCTTCTGAATAGATGGGGCAGAGGAGAGGGAAGGGTCTGGCAGAGACCAGAACGGATCCCAGGGCAGGACACTTGGGCATACCTGGGTAAATAGGAGAAAGTCCAAAGCCAGGTCTTGCTGCAATTCCTGCAAGAGAGACTTAGTGTTGGTGACGCATACTGGCAGGCCATGCTGTGGCCTTATCACCTGGTCTTGGTGTCTGGAACCAGCTCCTTCCCACTGTCATGTCCTACTGAAGCCACATTCTTTGTGGGATGTCTGTGTGCAGCGCATTTGTGTGTGCATGCTCTACCTTTCATTTTGAGGCAAGGTCTCTCACTAAGCCTTTTGTTTATGGATTTGGCAAAACTAGACGGGCCAGCACACCCCAGGGATCCTCCAGCCACCTCCTCCCCAGCTGGCAAATTTTACATACACGCTGGGGGTTTGAACTCAGGTCTTCATGCTTGCACAATGAATGCTTTACCAACTGAGCCACGTCCCCAAGCCTTGAAGTCCCTTTCTTAATTAAACGTGTCTCTGTCCCATATGCCTGTGTGGTGCCCTGTGGCTTATGCTCTAAGCTTGGTTGACACTATCCTCAACTTGAGGGGGAGGGCACTCCTCCCATGGTTGCCTCCTGTCCTAGAGTGATTTTTCTATCTCCAGACCTCATGTGGATTCAGCTTCCAGAACCCCCTTGTTTGTCCCCCAGAGTCAGGCAGATCTGAGAACAACATCAGGGTTGGCCATACCTCCACCTGGGAATGGCCTGGCTCCTAGGACACCTCCAAGGCCAGCAGCACCTGGGGAGAGGACACAGGGTGTCAGAATGGATACAAGGGTGGTACTGCTGACATTCTGGACACGACCTTCAGGGGTACCATGAGCTGGGCAGGTATGGGTCATGGCGATGGGTGTACAAGCCTATTGCTGAGGGGGAGGCCATAGGGGAAACTCACCGTATTTGGCTGCCTTAGCAGCTGCAGCAGGGGACACACCTGGAGGAAGCAGGCACGGGAGAGCTCAGAAAAGCTACCTCTCTTCCCTGCTCCAGCCCGCCTAGCAGATCAGCATCTGCAGCATCTGCTCCTGACTTGTCCACCCACATCCCACCATTCCGTCATCCCTCCTGCTTCACACACCCATCTTTCTAATAGCCCCCCCACCCCCGTGTGTGTGTGTGTTGCTAGAGATGGAATCCAGGATGTAATGCATGCTGTGCAAGTGCTATACCATTCAGTAATGCTTTTAGCCCCTCACTGGGGGATTTTAGGCAGGGGCTCTACCACTGAGCCACGCCCCCAGCCCCTCACTGGGGATTCTAGGCAGGGGCTCTACCACTGAGCCACGCCCCCAGCCCCTCACT